TAAGTCGAAAGCACGTCGACGAAACACTGGGACCCCTTTCCCCATCACCTCGAGGGCGTCACCACCTCTTGCTCATGCTGCGAGCGCCGCTCATTCCTATGAGCCCGGCTGCTCCAGCCACTGGTCGGAGCTTGAGCTCAGCCACCGACCTGTCATCCGCGCGTTCTAGCGGCGTGAAGCGCTCGGCGCCTGACGACGCGGTCGTACGCCGTAGCGGCGGGGCAGTGTGTGTGCCCAATCAAAAGCGTCTACGACGTCAGGGCAGTCCTGCCGGAGGACAACCTCAAACTCCCAAGCGTTTTGTGAGTGAGGATAACCCCTCCAATTCACAAGGTACTGAGTACGACCCTGGCGCCTGCGCCTCGCCACCAGGCGTTCCACATGGAAGTGGAGCTCGCCGTGCTCGTCGAGCAGAGCAGGAGGAGGCCGAGCCTCAGCTGGACTCTCGCGCCGCGAGTCGCAGCGACGTGTTCGCGCTGGAGCAACGTGTAGGTTCTCTGAACCAGTATCTCCATGATACGACTGACTCTCTGAGTCGCCTTGCACATGGTCTCGATGAGACGAACCACCGCGTGGACTGGTTTGAACAACCACAGTCGGCTCAGAACCGAGTCGCGGACCTTGAGCGTCAAGTCGCTCAGCTGCAAGGTCAGATCGACTTGCTGTTGCGTCTTGTGGCCCCGCCACCTGCTGTCGCTCAGCCTGCCGTGGTTCGGCCTCCTGCTGTTGCGCAGCCTGTCGTGGCCCAGCCACCGTTGGCGCCAACGCCTCCGCGCTCACCTGAGCAGGGTCCTGGTACGGCTTGAGTAAGCCAACGTAGAAGACTGGATGCGTGCGTATCTTCTTCGGAAGGTTAAGCGTATACGCTAGGCCCTTCTTGGCCACGACCTTGAACGGTCCTATGAACCGTGGTCTCAATTTTGTCTTAAAGACTGCAGACACTGCATGAGTAGGTAGGTTTTTTTGCATTTAATAAAACTTGGTCTCCGACCTCAACCCTTTCTTCATTGCGTCTGCCTTTGGCATCTGCATGTTCTTTTTGCATGTCTTGGCTTTCAGCCATAGCGTTGCGTACTTGACGCATTACGCTTAGTCTCAAAGCGACAAAGTCATTGACTTGCTTGCGAACCGCAACAGGGCTGACATCAGCTAGCCGCTCGGCTATCCCTCCCCCATCAAGCCCTGAGCCACTGCGTGGCGGCGTCAGTGGGACGCGAGGGTTAACCAAGCCGTTCACATAGAACGGAGTGTAGCCTGTCGAGGCGTGCACTGCATTATTTAATGCGAACTCAACGAGTGGGAGCATCTGGCTCCAGCGTTTTGGCGCCTCAGCGCATACACTTCGGAGGATATCCTCCACAACGCGATTCACGCGTTCGGTTTGACCATCGGTCTGCGGATGGTCCGCTGTGGACATGTCCAAACGAGTGCCAAGCACTCTGAACAGGGACGTCCAGAACTTCGCGGTGAAGCGCGGGTCTCGATCCGAGACAATTGTATCAGGCAAGCCATGTTGGCGAAAGACTCGATCTAAAAACAGCAAAGCGTTACCTTCACCATCTATGGTGTCCGGCACCGCCGCTAGATGAGCCATCTTGCTCAATCGGTCTACAAAGACCAACATACCCGTGTTTCCCGCTATATCTT